TTAATAAAATTAATCGGGTACTTCGGCTTAGCAAGTGAAGCCAGTAGGAGGATTCCTTCCACAGTTGTTGAGAACAAGGCTAAGAGAGAGTGGCACATTCAGATTTATTCCCAGCACGTTTGCCCTTATGGCTGTGCACAAGCAAACTGCCGCCTCTAGATCTGCCAGCCCCGCGATCAAGCTGCAGCATGGCATCGTTGGAGGAGTCCCAATTACCGCACCCACCAATCCACCAACTAAATTTGCACATACACCCAACTTCAAAGCATCTCTCGGGCACCTGCCTCGTCCATTGCCACTTCCACCTCCATTGCCCGAACCACCTCCGTTGCCGGAGCCGCCACCATTGCCCGAACCACCAGTGTTACCACCATTGCCACCACCATTACCGGTGCTAGGAGGAATAGAATGACAAGAGCCACAATCGGTTCCACTGACTAGGGCAAAGAAAAGGAGATTCAAAGAGAGGAAAAGGGTAACTGAGGCTCTTGTTTTGGAAGCCATGTTATAAGTAAGCTAAGATAAAAGTTGTAAAGAGAAGTGATTGCAAAGATGAGATGGTTGAAGTCTGGTGCTAATGTGGAGTATTTATAGTGCTAGGAGGATGAATAATTACGAACAATCCCTCTTAAGCTTAGAGAGAGATATTAAAATAGTAATGCGTGTGCTGCGTGGTGTTGAAAAATAAGTTTGTCATTGTTGCCAATTCTTAACTGTTATAGTGCTAGGAGGATGGTTTAGGGAACCTTCTATTATTGTGATGTAGGTAAATAGGGAACCTTCTATTATTGTGATGCCTGTGACTCGGTGCATCTGCATGGCATATTCTAATTAAGCCATTACATAACCAAATTATTAGCCTCCACATTAGGTGATCGTCAATATCACAAGATATCAGGGCCAGGGCTGGAACTAGTATGTAGATTACGGGTTTCCTCATCTAGACCGGCAGCTGCTAGGTTTCCTCATCTAGATCTCATCCAAACTTCCCCGGTCCTCGGCCTGAGCTGTATGAAGCAAAAAATCGTCTCACGTACGATTCAGAGGCCGAGCCCCACCCCAACATAAATGGTGCAACTTAGGTCAACTAACACATAATGTTGCGGAAGCCAAATGTATATAGTGTGAATAAGTCACAACTACTATACCAAAAATTA